TGTGGCATTTTTGTGGTGTGAATTGGCCCTTGACACCGACTTGCGCTAAAATGCATGTACAGTTCCATCCATTTTAGTTGCGTCTTAACGCATGCTGATGTCCGTTGACATAAGTTCTGCATTTTAGCAACTCAACGGTATGGTGTCAATAGGATATTGTTTGTCAGATGTCCTTCCGTTGGTCTGCGTTTTCCAGCTGCGCTAAAATGCATTGGTGTGAATTGGCCCTTAAGTATAACTAATGGCTTTTTTTTTTTTGGTTTTCTTGTTTTTTTTAGTTTTAGACAGAGTGGAGAGGGATTAGAACACCTGCCAGGTTTTTATTGTTGTCTGTGCCCCTGATAGAAAACTTCACTCTCTTTATTTGTCCTCTTTACTAATATCACTGAAAGTTAAAGTGAAAGCAAATCTCAAATTCTGGGTTGTCACCAGAACAAGAATACAAGGGAGAACTTATCATGGTGACACTAGATCTGGTGACCCCAGTAACAACCACAGAATTCCTCAGTTTGGAGGGATTTCTTTCATTTCCTGTTTTGGCTATGGGAAGGAAGTGAAGGGAAATCTCCCCCAAACAGCAAGGGAGAATGTCACCAGCACACCAAAACTATCCTGATGAAGGGGTCCTGCGAGACTCCGAAACATTGCTCTTGCTGCAACTATGTGATCGTTCATTAAAACGTTTGGACCCATATTGATGATCCTCAGTGTACTGGTGACTTTCTCCCTTGCTGATTCTGTTTGGTTCCAGCTGACGGTCGGTTCAGCACCCACTTATACACACAGTCATTTTTAACGCAGGAACGTGTGCGTTTAGATTGTACTCTTGCATGTCCTCCAACAGGACACAGCAAAAAAAATTACAGAGGGTGTAATCCTACTTTACTCCATCCAAAATGAAAAATCTTTGCATTCCGTTCAACCTAAAAAAAACACAGTGAGGCTGAATTACTAAAACTGGAGACTGCAAACTCTGTGTTGTGCATGGCAGCCAATCAGCTTCTGACTTCATCTTGTTCCATTAAGCTTTGACAAACAAATCTGGAAGCTGATTGGTTTCTATGCACAGCTGCACCAAATTTTGCACTCTCCAGTTTTAGTAAATCAACCCCAGTATCTCTCATTAACCACTTGCCCTTCAGAGGCTTTAACCCTCTTCCTGACCAGACCATTGTTTTGCGATACGGCGCTGCGTTAATTTAACTGCCAAATACGCGGTCATGTAATGCTGTATATAAATTACATTTATGTCCTTTTTCCCCCACAAATACAGCTTTCTTTTGGTGGTATTTGATCATTTCTGTAATTTTACATTTTTGTGCTATAAATAAAAACAAATGACAATTTTGAAAACATTTTTGACTATTTGGTAAAAAACATACCCAATAAAAAAAATGTAAGAAATGTAATTTCTTCATAAATTTAGGCCAAAATGTATTCTGCTATGTCTTTGCAAAAAAAAAATCCCAATGCATGTAAATGAATTGGTTTACGTGAGAGTTATAGCTCTACAAATGGTGGTATATATGCTGGAATTTGTATCTATTTTTTTTTTATACTAGTAATGACAGCGATCAGCAGCTTATAGCGGGACTGCGGCAAGCATTCTGACACTGGGCGGGGACTGACTGCACCTGACATCCCAATGACACTAATACAGTGATCAGTGCTAATAAAAAGTACAGACACTGTACTAATGACACTGGGAAGGAAGGGGTTAACATCTGGGGTTAACTGTGTGCTGTTTAAGACTAGGTTCACACTACAGCGGTGCGGTAAATCCCATGTGATTCGCACAGGAACTGCACCGCATTCCTGTACAAATCACATGCTGTTGCTTCTTCTCTCTCCATCCTGTGGGTGGCGCTGGATGGCCACCCGGCATGCATAGGCTGCCTAGGTGCTTTTGCCAGTGGGAGTGGTGATGGGTGTGGGCTCTGTGTAGCCGTCATCTTCCCACTTTTCTCTCTGCTACGTCATTTATGAGTGGAGAGAGTTTGCATGCCAGTGGGCATCCTGCGCAGGACGTCATCCCGCACTGCGGACATGGTGACACCGCACGTCTCTCTCCGATGGGGGCGGGTTGGCGCCTCACGCCAGAGTTTATGGGGCATCTTTGGAGGCTAGCCTGGACAACAAATCACTCAGGTGCAGACATTTAGGACAATTATTCCCCTACTTACGATGATGACTATCTGGCTCCAATGCATTATCTTTTATGTGCGTTGATCTATCAGAATGGATTTTTGAGACCTTGTGAGTGAGATGAGCTGCTCTAGATGAACTTATATGGGGCATAATTTATCTGGGAGCTTATATCATACTATATAACTTTTTCTGCATTGTTATGGAACCAGTCTATATGTATATTATATTGACTTTACCTCCATATTAATTCCCTTCTATATTGTTATTTACAGGCTACCTCTGTACTCTTTTTGGAAGTCTGTACTATTAAACCAAATAAATGGATGAGTATGATCACATGATTAATTATTAAAGAAATACCTATCTTGGTTTGTACTTATATATTTAATTCACTTATAATTATTATGTGCCTTCTGTATGAGTTGTTATTGGCTATATATATCTCAAATTGCAGGGTTGGGTCCCATGGTCCCCAGTGGCCATCAAGGCACTCTACAGTAGCTCCCTCACAGGAGTTCCTTTACGGGGGATTTTCCACCACCTTGGTCAAGTGCAGGCTAGCAACTACCATCTGTTGTTTTTACTATAACGGCTTTGTTTGACCAAAAATGCTCTCTGAATAGTAAGTTGTCTACAGTTTTTTTTTATAACAACCTGTATATACAGTGAGGAACAGAAGTATTTGAACATCCTGCGATTTTGCAAGTTCTCCCACTTAGAAATCATGGAGGGGTCTGAAATTCACATTGTAGGTGCATTCCCACTCTGAGAGACGGAATTTTAAAAAAATCAGGAAATCACATTGTATGATTTTTAAAGAATTTATTTGTCTTGCACTGCTGAACATAAGTATTTGAACACCTGAGAAAATCAGTGTTAATATTTGGTACAGAAGCCATTGTTTGCAATTACAGAGGTCAACGTTTCCTGTAGTTCTTGACCAGGTTTGCACACACTGCAACAGGGATTTTGGCCCACTCCTCCACACAGATCTCCTCTAGATCTTTCAGGTTTCGGGGCTGTCGCTGAGCTCCCTCCAAAGATGTTCTATTGAATTTAGGCCTGGAGACTGGCTAGGCCACTCCAGAATCTTGATATGCTTCTTACGGAGCCACTCCTTGGTTATCCTGGCTGTGTGCTTCGGGTCGTTGTCATGTTAGAAGACCCAGCCACGACCCATCTTCAATGCTCTGACTGAGGGAAGGAGGTTGTTGCTCAAAATCTCACAATAAATGGCCCCATTCATCCTCTCCTTAATACAGTGTCCTGTCCCCTTCGCAGGAAAGCACCCCCAAAGCATGATGTTACCACCCCCATGCTTCATAGTAGGGATGGTGTTCTTGGGATGCAACTCATCCTTCTTTTTCCTCCAAACACGACGAGTGAAGTTCAGACCAAAAAGTTCTACTTTGGTCTCATCTGACCACATGACTTTCTCCCATGCCTCCTCTGGATCATCCAGATGGTCATTGTCAAACTTCAGACAGGCCTGGACATGTGATTACTTGAGCAGGGGAACCTTCCGTGCAATGCATGATTTGAAACCATGACAGCGTAGTTGTCAGGGATGAGGGTGTGACCAGAAGTGTGTGGACTGACACAGGGAAACGTAGGCTTCAGATATAGTAAATAATATAATTTATTGAGACTAACAATACAAATATAAACGCAGTGCACCAAACCCCAAGCTAACACAAATACATACAACAAGGTGAAACAAACCCAAACCTAAACTGATATAGATACACAGGTACATACACATATAGAGCACAACGTAGTCAGGCAGGCCGGGTCGATAACTATCGGGCAGGTAGGTACAGGAGGAGCAGGCGGAGAGAATGGTCAGGGTCACAAGCCAGGGATCAAACAGGAGAAGTCAGAAGAGGTCAGGATCAGGCAGGGTCGGCAACAAGTCAGGCAGAAACAGGAACAGAAATGCAGGTTACAAGATACAGGGGCCCATGGAAAAAACACACACCAAGGCCCTGACTGTGTCTGGCCATTCCTTAAATACAACCCCTGCAATCAGCTTCAGGTGTTTTGGCTGACTGCAGGGGTGAGTCTCTGATTGCTGAGAGCACCCGCTGGCCAGCCCTGGTACTGCAGCCCACAAGGCAGGTGAGTCCCACCATATTGGCAAGTCTGTTCCTGACAGTACCCCCCCCCCCTCAAGGAGCGGCCTCAGGACGCTCCAAACAGTCCTAGCTGGGTAAAATGTTCCACCGCCCGGGTCTGGTAACTGGCGGGATATCAAAGACTGGCACATCGAGCTGGGCACCGGACGTAGGCACATCAGGCTGGACGCCGGATCACCAGGCGGAGCAGCGGGCACCGGGCCACCAGGCGGAGCAGCGGGCACCGGGCCACCAGGCGGGGCAGCGGGCATCGGCCACCAGGCAGGGCAGCAGGCACCGGGCCCCCAGCAGGGCGGCGGGCACTGGGCCCCCAGGCGGAGCGGCGGGCACCGGGCCCCCAGGCGGAGCGGCAGGCACCGGGCCCCCAGGCAGGGCGGCAGGCACCGAGCCCCCAGGCGGAGCGGCGGGCACTGGGCCACCAGGCGGGGCGGCGGGCACCAGGCCCCCAGGCAGGGCGGCGGGCACCAGACCCCCAGGCGGAGCAGCAGGCACCGGGCCCCCAGGCGGAGCAGCAGGCACCGGGCCCCCAGGCGGAGCGGCGGGAACCGGGCCCCCAGATGGAGCAGTGGGCACCGGGCCCCCAGGCAGGGCAGCAGGCACCGGGCCCCCAGACGGAGAGGCGGGCACTGGGCCATCTGGCTCGACAGCGGGCATCGGGTCACCAGGTACAACAGCGGGCACCGGGTCATCAGACATTGGATCGTCTTGCTCGACCGCGGGCACCAGGTCATCTGGCTCAACAGCGGGCATCGGGTCACCAGGCACGACAGCAGGCATCGGGTCACCAGGCATCAGGTCATCTGGCTCGACAGCGGGCATCGGGTCACCAGGTATGACAGCGGGCACTGGGTCATCAGGCATTGGATCGTCTGGCTCGACAGCGGGCATCAAGTCATCAGGCACGACAGCGGGCATCGGGTCACCAGGCATGACAGTGGGCACTGGGTCATCAGGCATTGGATCATCTGGCAAGACTGCGGGCACCGAGTCATCTGGCAAGACCGCGGGCACCTAGTCATCTGGCAAGACCGCGGGCACCAAGTCATCTGGCAAGACCGCAGGCTCCGAGTCATCTGGCAAGACCGCAGGCCCCGAGTCACCAGGCACAACAGCGGGCTCTGAGTCAACCGGCCCGACAGCAGGCTCCGAGTCAACTGGCAAGACAGTGGGCACCAAGTCATCTGGCGGAACAGCGGGCATCGAGTCATCTGGCAAGACAGCGGGCACCGAGTCACCTGGCATAATAGGATCATCAGGCTGGATCAGTTCATCAGGCTGGGTAGAGACATCATGCTGGGTAAAGACATCAGGCTGGGTAGAGACATCAGGCTGGGTAGGAAACATCAGGCTGAATAGAGACATCAGGCTGAATAGAGACATCATGCTGGGTAGAGACATCAGGCTGGGTAGAGACATCAGGCTGAATTGTGGGTGCCGAGGCACCAGGCTGAACCACGGAAGGCGGGTTCTCAGACGGCAGGCTGACCGGTTTGGATACTGGCAGGATGGTACTGGTTGGAAAGAATTTTCGCTTTTTTCTGGTTTTAGTTACTGGAGCACTGTAAGTAAATGCAGGTCTGTAAACGAATGGAGCAGCTGAAGACAGAGAAGAGCTGGAGGATGGAACAGAGGAGGGAGCAGTTGCTACAGAGGACTTCTTTACAGGGTTAAAGAAAGGATAGGTGCAGCGAGTGGGAGCAGGGGACTGGTATGTGGTAGTTAGCAGAGTATACTGGGCCGTCACTGGGGGTGCTGTCGGGGATGCAGGAAGAGTGCCTTGAGCAGAGGAATGATGTTGCAAGCCGACTGAGGCTGGGTGCAACAAGTCTGACCATGTCTGCAGTATGGGTTGAACAAAGCTCCGCTTACACAAAGCCTGTCTGGTCAAAGACTGCATTGCGTTTATCCAATCTCTTAGTACCTGTTGTGAACATGCAGAATAACGCTCCAGAAAGTAATCCACATCATCCTCTAATAACCATACCAGGGACTCTACCTGGTCGGCACTAAATGGCGGCAAAAATTCATCCCTGCATTCGGGGGTACCAGATGAAACCAACTCAGCACAAACCTGAATCAATGGCTGCACCTCAGAGAATTCTGTGCCCTGATCTACTAGGCAATGAGCGATCCTTATACACTCTAGTAGTTGATCCCTGGGATACTCCTTCAGAGTCTGATAAGCATAATCCCTGTCATCAAACACTAGCAGAGATAAATACACCACCTCATCAAGATCCATCCTTCCCAGCAACAATAAGCCAAGATGGCTTCCCTGTGCAGCCACTTCTGGTCAGGATTGGCCTTGGTGTAATGTCAGGGATGCGGGTGTGACCAGAAGTGTGTGGACTGACACAGGAAAACGTAGGCTTCAGATATAGTAAATAATATAATTTATTGAGACTAACAATACAAATATAAACGCAGTGCACCAAACCCCAAACTAACACAAATACATACAACAAGGTGAAACAAACCCAAACCTAAACTGATATAGATACACAGGTACATACACATATAGAGCACAACGTAGTCAGGCAGGCCGGGTCGATAACTATCGGGCAGGTAGGTACAGGAGGAGCAGGCGGAGAGAATGGTCAGGGTCACAAGCCAGGGATCAAACCGGAGAAGTCAGCAGAGGTCAGGATCAGGCAGGGTCGGCAACAAGCCAGGCAGGAACAGGAACAGGAACAGGAATGCAGGTTACAAGATACAGGGGCCCATGGAAAAACACACACCAAGGCCCTGACTGTGTCTGGCCATTCCTTAAATACAACCCCTGCAATCAGCTTCAGGTGTTTTGGCTGACTGCAGGGGTGAGTCTCTGATTGCTGAGAGCACCCACTGGCCAGCTCTGGTACTGCAGCCCACAAGGCAGGTGAGTCCCACCGTTATTGGCAAGTCCATTCCTGTCAGTAGTGTTCTACCGACAGTGACCTTTGAAACTGTGGTCCCAGCTCTCTTCATGTCATTGACCAGCTCCTCCCTTGTAGTTCTGGGCTGATTCCTCACCTTTCTTATCATCAGTGATACCCCACGAGGTGACATCTTGCATGGAGCCCCAGTCCGAGGGAGACTGACAGTCATCTTTAGCCTCTTCCATTTTCTAACAATTGCTCCAACAGTTGATCTATTTTCACCAAGCTGCTTGGCAATTGCCCCGTAGCCCTTTCCAGCCTTGTGGAGGTCCACAATTTTGTCTCTGGTGTCTTTTAACAGCTCTTTGGTCTTGCCCATGGTAGTATTTGGTGTCTGACTGACTGTGGGGTGGACAGGTGTCTTTAAAGAGCTCAGACAGGTGCTACTAAGTTAGATTAATGAGTGGAGTAGAGGTGGACTTTTTAAAGGCACAGTAACAGGTCTTTGAGAGCCAGAATTCTTGCTGTTTCTTAGGTGTTCAAATACTTATGTTCAGCAGTGCAAGACAAATAAATTCTTTAAAAATCATACAATGTGATTTCTTGAATTTTTTTTTTAATTCTGTGGGAATGCACCTACAATGTGAATTTCAGAACCCTCCATGATTTGTAAGTGGGAGAACTTGCAAAATCGCCAGGTGTTCAAATACTTCTGTTCCTCACTGTACATGGAATATTTTGGACCACTGTAAATTACATTTATTATGTTCTAGAGATTGTACATCTTTAAAACCCCTGAGGAAAGAATGTTATATCTCTGAAAACGCGTCGGGTGAATGGAGCTTTGCTACAAGTTTGTTTCAATCATTTGAGAGCAATTACATTTGATGTATCAGAAATTGGGGTGCAAGCCGGTGCTCTTTTATGTTAACTTTGTTTAATAAAGATACTACTTTTTTATTCCAATAATTTTGATTTTATATAAATCTGTTACGCAGTGCCTGTAAAGTCCCACTTGGGGTTTCGTATATGCATCTCTCTTTATTAGGGTCTTCAGTGTCCAGCTATTTAACAGAACAGCATGCTCCCTGAAGTCCAGGTCTCACCCCAGTGCTCCGCTATAGTGGCTGCTCTACCACCACTTCTGTCAAGTGCTGCCTCCGCTGCATCCAGGTAGAAATCACCTTTCTCTTTGCCCTAGACATAGCAGGTCTACAGCAGTCCCTGACTCCCTGCAGCAAGAGAGCCCTTCCTTTATCTCAGTCTAGGAGATACCTCCTTTGTCTCTCTACTTCTGGGAACTGTAGTTTAGAGTGAACCTGTATTAATGGCTAAGTCTCTTTTGTGAACTACACTTCCCACAATCCTCAATGTTTCCTCTTAAAGGTTTCCAACAGTTCATGTCCTTTCTTGCCCTCTAGTGAACGGAGGGCTGTTAAACACCAGCTGCTCTGTATTATGTGACAGCAGTCTCTCCTGGTGTAAGTATTTCCTGAGACAGCATAAACAAAAAGTATTTTTTTCCCACTGGCTACATATTTATTGCAAAGACCTTATGCTTTTGAATTTTTAGAGTCATGGCACTGTATCATTATTATTTTTTCTGGGTCTGGTAAGTAAATTGCTCTTAGAAGGACAGGCTGACAAATGTACCAAATAACTTTGGATTAATTTAATAATTCCAATTTAATAATAATAATTTGCTTCATGTGGACCACAGTCATAGTATTCACTCATTCCTTCTTTTCTTATGTACCTTCACAATTTCAGTCTGAGGGGTTTATTTACTAAAACTGAAGAGTGCTAAATCTGGTGGAACTCGGCATAGAAACCAATCAGCTTCCAGGTTTTATTGCCAAAGCTTAACTGAACAAGCTGAAGTTAGAAGCTGATTGGCTGCATCAGATTTTGAGTGCTCCAGTTTTAGTACAGTGCATCCAGAAAGTATTCACAGCACTTAACTGTTGCCACATTTTGTTAGCTTACAGCCTTATTCCAAAATAAAATTAATTTTTTTCCTCAACATTCTACAAACAATACCCTATAATGACAACATGAAAGAAGTTTGTTTAGAAATCTTTGCAATTTATTAAAAAAAAAAAAATGAAAAAAAAAAAAACATGTGTTCATAAGTATTCACAGCCTTTGCCATGACACTCAAAATTGAGCTTTGGCGCATCCAGTTCCCACTGATCATTCTTGAGATGTTTCCACAACTTGATTGGAGTCCACCTGTGGGAAATTCAGTTGATTGGACATGATTAGGAAAGGCAAAAACCTGTCTATATAAGGTCTCACAGTTAACAGTGCATGTCAGAGCACAAACCAAGCCATGAAGTCCAAGGAATTGTCTGTAGACCTCTGAGACTTGTATCAAGGCACATATCTGGGGAAGGATACAGAAAAAGTTCTGCAGCATTGAAGGTCCCAATGAGCACAGTGGTCTCCATCATCCGTAAATGGAAGAAGTTTGAAACCACCAGGAATCTGCTGCCCGACCAAAATGAGCGATCGAGGGAGAAGGGCCTTAGCCAGGGAAGTAACCCAGCACCCGATGGTCACTCTGAAAGGGCTCCAGCGTTTCTCTGTGGAGAGAGGAAACCCTTCCAGAAGAACAACCATCTCTGCAGCACTACACCAATCAAGTCTGTATGGTAGAGTGGCCAGACGGAAGCCACTCCTCAGTAAAAGGCAAATGGCAGCCCACCTGGAGTTTGACAAAAGGCACCCGAGGGACTCTCAGCACATGAGAAACAAAACTCCCTCCTGGGGTTCTCTCATCCAGTTGGGGGCAAGGTGCATTCACAGGTGTGAATGCACCATTATTATTATTTTACAGGATTTATAGATCACCAACGGCTTGCTCAGCGCTTTACATTATAGTGGGAGACAATACAGTAACAATACAGTTCAATACAAGAGGGATTTGAGGGCTCTGCTCCTTGGAGCTTACAATCTAGGAGGGAGGGGTGAGTGGTACAATAGGTAATAAATGTGGGGGATGGAGTGGTTGGAAGAGTAGAGGATTCCAGTATTAGCAGAGGGCGGGATAGGCTTCCCTGAAGAGATAGGTTTTCAGTGATCGCCTAAAGGTAAGTAGAGTAGGTGATAATCTGGGTAGGGAGTTCCAGAGGATGGGTGACGACCTTGAGAAGTCTTGGAGACGAGCATGGGAGGAGGAGATAAGGGAACTAGAGAGTAGGAGGTCTTGCGAGGAGCGGAGAGTACGGTTTGGGTGATATTTAGAGATAAGATCGGTTATATAAATTGGGGCAGTGTTGTGGATGGCTTTATATGTCATTGTTAGTGTTTTGAATTTTATCCGTTGGGCAACTGGGAGCCAGTGGAGGGATTAGCAGAGAGGGGGGTGGCAGATACAGAACGGTTAGTGAGGTGGATGAGTCTGGCAGCAGCGTTCATGATAGACTGGAGGGGGGATAGCCTGCGATGAAGTAGGCCAATGAGGAGGGAGTTACAATAATCAAGGCGTGACATGACAAGGGAGTGAATAAGTTGCTTAGTGGTTTCCGGGGTTAGGAACGGTCGTATATTGGAGATGTTGCGGAGGTTAAGTCTACATGATTGTGTCAGCGATTGGATCTGGGGCTGGAAGGACAGATGGGAGTCTAGGATTACACCTAGTACCCTGGCATGAGGGGATGGACTGAGGATGGTGTTATCGATATTTATGGTGAAGTCAGTGGGGGTGGCACGGGCAGGGGGGAATACTAGGAGCTTAGTTTTGGAAAGGTTGAGTTTGAGGAAGTGGAGTGACATCCAAGCCGATATGTCACTTAGTAGGCTAGAGATGCGGGTGGAGACTGAAGGGGTGAGGGGTAGACAGATAGATTTGCGTGTCATCAGCATAGAGATGGTAATTGAAGGCGTGGGAGTTTATCAAGTGACCAAGGGAGGAGGTGTAGATGGAGAAGAGAAGGGGTTCAAGGACAGAACCTTGAGGGACCCCTACAGAGAGAGGGAGTGAGGAGGAGGTGGCAGCATTGTAGGTAACACTGAAGGAGCACTGCGATAGATAGGAGGAGAACCAGGAGAGAGCGGAGTCTCTGAGGCCAAGAGACTGTAATTTTTTGAGGAGGAGGTCAACCATGTCAAACGCTGCGGAGAGGTCGAGTAGTAGGAGTATTGAATAGTGGCCGTTGGTTTTAGCAGTTAGTAGATCATTAGAGAGTTTTAGTGGGGCAGTTTCAGTGGAGTGTAGAGGGCGAAAGCTAGACTGTAAAGGGTCAAGAAGGTTTTTGTCAGTGAGGTGGGAGCTCAGACGATTGTAGACTAAGCTTTCTAGTTTAGAGGTAAATGGCAGCAGGGAGATGGGTCTTAGGTTGTTCAGGTTGGTGGCGTCTAGGGAGGGTTTTTTAAGTATGGGAGTGATGCGTGCGTGCTTTAGAGGGGAGGGGAAGGTACCTGTAGAGAGGGAAAGATTGAAGATGTGAGTGAAGGAGCATAGGATGGAAGAAGAGGGTGACCGAAGGAGTTGTGAGAGGACAGGGTCCAGGGGGCAGGTGGCTTCTGAGAAGACCTTAAGGACCTCTTCGGTGGTGGCGAGGTCAAAGGAGGAAAGTGTTGAGGGAGGTGTGGTATGAGGAATGCTAAGTGGGGTGGGTGTCTGTGTAGTGGCGATGTCCCTATGAATTACGTCAATCTTGTTTTTGAAGTGGTTTGCAGTGAGCAGTGAGTGAGGCACTGGGTGGCGGTGGAGGCGGAGAATGTAGGGAGTTAAAAGTAGAGAAGAGCCAACGAGGACTGGAAAAGAAGGTATTAAAGAGACAGCACAGTACCATAAAGAGACAGCACAGCATTAATTTCAGAGTGACCATCAGGTGCTTGGTTACCTCCCTTGCTAAGGCCCTTCTCCCTCGATTACTTATTTTGGATGGGTGGCCCGCTCTAGGAAGTTTCCTGGAGGTTCCAAACTTCTTCCATTTATGAATGATGTAGACCACTGTGCTCATTGGGACCTTCAACACTGCAGAAAAGTTTCTGTACCCTTCCCCGGATCTGTGCCTTGATACAATCCTGTCTCGAAGGTTTACAAACAATTCCTTGGACTTCATGGCTTGGTTTGTGCTCTGACATGCACTGTTAACTGTGGGACCTTATATAGACAGGTTTATGGCTTTCCTAATCATGTCCAATCAACTGAATTTCCCACAGGTGGACTCCAATCAAATTGTGTAAACATCTCAGGGATGAACAGTGGGAACAGAATGCGCCAATGAGCTCAATTTTGAGTGTCATGTCAAAGCCTGTGAATACTTGTGTACAGGGGCGGACTGACCATTTGGAAACTCAGGCACTGTAGGGGGCCCCATGAGATGCCCCTGGTACCTTTTTCATAGGCTTTTTTGAGTTTTGGGCAAGGACACAGGGGCCCCATGATCCCCTATTGCCTGGGGGGCCCCATGAGTTGTCAGTCCGCCCCTGCTTGTGTACATGTGTTTTTTTTTTATAAATGGCAAAGATTTCAAAACAAACTTCTTTCACGTTGTCATTTTGGGGTATTGTTCGCAGAATGTTGAGGAAAAAATGTAATTTAATCCATTTTGGAATAAGGCTGTAACATAAAATGTGGCAAAAGTTAAGTGCTGTGAATACTTTCTGGATGCATTGTAAATCTACCCCAGATTATCTGAAAGAAAGCAACGAATGCTGTGCTGTCTCCTTTTGGTGCATTCATACCTGTGAATGCACCTTGCCCCCAACTGGCTGAGAGAACCCCAGGGGGAGTTTCTGTGATTAGCTGAAAGAGGCAACAACACTGAAAGACTACCTGTGTCCAGGGCCGATCACTCACATGGGATTGCTGCATGAGAGATTACATACAAGTGGTTGTGATTAACTGCGAGAGCCAGCAGGAACCTCTACTGGGGTTCTCACATCTATTCAGAGGGAGGGTGTAGTCACAGGTGTGAATACACTCCTAGTCATGTGTTAAATGTTTAAATGTTGGCCAGTAAAAAAAATACATATAATGCATAAAAATATACAGTATATCAATGGAAAAATGGTGCAGTCAGGCAGTTATCCTTCTTCAGCATTCTCTAAATTATCTCCATGTACACAGGACATATTAATCACTTGAACATATCAAGCCTTTTTTGACAGCTGGGCTGTGTGGACAGTATTTTAATAGAATGTACTTGAGTGAGACACGTCAAATGTAAAAGCATCTATGTCACTAAGCCAGAACTGGATTTCCCAGTTGGCCTTGCAGGCACAGTGTCTAGGGCCTACAAATACTTTAAAGTGTTACTAAACTCAGAACCCTGCATTCACTATATCTGGTCTCCCACAGTACACAGAACATGGAAATGCAATTATTTTAATAAATATAAACTGCTAAATGCTTTTTCCCATCAGTAGTCAGAGCAGTCTTGTGACTTCTATCAGTGTCCAGCAGAGCACATGTTAAAGCTTGTAGGAAGAGTTTTAATTTTGCTCTAGGAGGATGCAGAACCCCTGACCTCTGTTTGGACAGTGCTGATTGGCCCTGTGCTGATCACATGCACTCTCTCAAGAAAAAGAAAAAAACTCTAGCAATACACACCAAACTGAGCTTGTGCAGAGTGTCTCCACACAATATGATTTATCAGGAAATAAGAGGGGGGCACTAGTTCCACAATGACTATAACAATATGCTTTACTGCATATACAGACTGATTTTATTGTTTTGGGTTTAGTAACACTTTAACTGTTCCACTTGCCCTCCAAAGGATCCCCCCCCCCCTTCCTGGCCAGGCCATTTTTTAAAATAATTGCATTTCCATGTTGTGTGTACTGTGGGAGACCAGATAAAGTGAATGCCGGGTCCTGGGTTTAGTAACACTTTAATAAAATTTTGAAAAACCTTACCATTTAAGAGGAAAGTCTAAATTATACAGTATTTCATGACCTCATCTCTGTAATTCAAAAGATAACAGCATCTGCTCTGCTAAGGAGGAGGTGTAACAGCAGGTATTACATCATATCCTCTCCTGTCTCTGCAGTAAAAGGAATCTACAGTTCTCATCAACCACAGGGAATTGTAGTGTGTCTATGAATATGTGTACACTAGGCCTATACATGTTGAATGTGTCTGAGAGTCTCGGTCTGCCCACCACTGCAAGTGGGGCTGAATTATATCACTGCTTCCAGGAGAAAGAACTACAGAAATGATGTGCCAAGACCAGTAACTGGAGGAATAGGAGGCATAGCAGCCACTGGTCTTAAAAACAGGAAACCAAAGAAAATGAACGGTTTGTTTCGAAAATGAATAGGCTATTTCAGAACAACTACTGAGTGAACCTAAAGATGAACAACATATTCAGTGACAGTAGGAGATCAGCAACAAGGACATGTAAATATGTTTTTGCACAGAGTTCTTCTTTAAATCTTTTATTTTTTTTATCAAAAAGAGAAGAGGCGGAAGTTGGGAAAGATTTTTTTTCTGTGACGAAATCCACTAATGTCAGATGCCACAGCAACACAAGATAAAGCTCAGGGGGCTTCAATACACCTAACGACACACTGTTTGTGTCATACTACCTTGTGAAGTACTACCCCCTTAAGGGTTGCTTAGTAAGTTTTGGGTTCCCAGTCAATCTGGACCTCTTTCTGAAAGCCCAACATCTGCTGACACCATCGTACTCTTGTGACCAGAATAAGTCCCCACTGTAAAATGGACTCACACAAGTTAGTGTAACCATTTTAAGTTGAACGTAGCTTGATCAAAAAGTACAAAATAGCATTGGCATATGCAGCAGATAGAATGACTCTTGTCAACTTTAAGTAAAAGTAACAGCATCCATAGTAAAGTACCAGTAACTGTTATCAGGCCTGCTTTCAGAAATAATCCACTGCCTCCAATCTGAGATGACTGTTGAATCCCCAGTGAGCAAGAACAACTATCAATAAACAGGTAAGCTCGCTGCAGGTCATCAGAACCTGATGGCAAGGATTAGATTTGGAAATGGAGAGAGCTCTCTTCTATAATCAACCAATGTCCCTTTAAGAACAATATGGAGTCTTCTGCGTGCTAGTTGTGGCCCAGTTGGTGTGAAGATGATCTAAGGTGTAGATGATAGTTAATAATTAATTCTCTTAATGGAAGTGAACTGATGCAAGGTCCCTTTTAATGCACTAAACAAAGACAGATTCAAATTAGGGAAGTGTAACAGTTGGTATAAGTCTCTGTGAGCAAGACCAACTCTCTCTGGGTGACAAGGGCCAAAGGCAACAGTAGTAGAAATCCCGTTCAGCTGGGAAGGGTAAATTGTTGTTTCAGTTGGCACTGCTGTATTCTGGCCTTCAGCTGTGTGTACTGCAGTTGGCTTGGATGATGAGACTGTAACACAAACATGTTCCAACTATGGCGGCTGGGAAAATTAGGCCGTAAACTGGGGTAACTATGTGTGGTGTCCGTAACTATGTGCAGGTAGATAGCAGATGTGATGAAATTGTCAGTGTTCACTTAGTGGGTGTATGGGACTCTCTTACCCAATTGATGGTGTCTGACAGGTGTTAACGGGCCATCTTTCTCTGTAAATGGGAGACTCTCTGGTCCTGATTCGGTGTCTTGTCTGGTCTCCTGCTTACAGATTGGCTTGCTGCGCAGCCTGGCAAGACTGACGATCAGCAGACTCTTTCTGTTCCTCCTCCCTCTCTGATTCTGGCTCCGTAGCCTGGTCCAATACTCCAGCTGCTCCTCTCTTGATCTCTCCCTTCTCACTTCCATCCTGTGTTGGCTTCAACATCCTGAATTAGACATTTACAGCAGGGTGTTACACTTGCGTACCTTCCTGATGGTGAGGGAAACTACACTTCCTGTTGTACACAGCCTCCAAAGACAAAATTTGCTAATTTCACAAAGTAGGACACACTCAGAACTGACTCGTCCTATGATATCCATATCATTATATCACCACTTGCAGCACTTGCCAGCTCCACTGCAATTCCAAATGTGTGAGCATCGTACCTCCATGAATTACTTATGGTACTGTGGTAGCAGTATGCCTACAAATACTAAAATGCCATAAACAAAACATGGCACAATAACTGAATATTAAGCGTTAGACTGCCAGAACATACCAAAGTCTAGAAGCCCCCTGATCCCCAACTAGTTCTATTTATCCACTTTCCCGCCGCCCTATAGTACAAGTGTTGCTACAGGGCGGCAGGGCTGCATAAAATCACAAATATATATGTGATTTGCATTGCAGGATAGGGGGTACGCGTGCCGCCCTGCCTGCGCCGGTATTGGCGACTAGGGATGTCAATCACCGGGTCCCAGATGGCGATTCCCAGCCTGCACTCGGCAATCATTAGGTAAAGCTGACAAGGGAGAGACCTGAGTGTAAACGACACAGGTCTCTTTCTTGTCAGCATGGGCATGCTGTTTTGTTTCTCTCTGCACAGCATGTCGTCCTAGTAAAACACAGAACTCAGCACACAGTAAAAGACACATAGCACACAGTTAACCCTTTGATCGCCCCAGATGTTAACACCTTCCTGCCCAGTGTCAGTTAGTACAGTGTCAGTGTCACTGGGAATGTCAGCGGCAGTTAGTTCCCATTTAGTGTCAGAATGCCCGCCGCAGTCCTGCAGTCCCGCAGTCCCGCTATAAATTGCTGATTGCCTCCATTACTAGTATAAAAAAAAAATATTCCAGCATATATGACACTATAACTTTCACGTAAACCAATTAATTTACATGTATTGGGATTTTGGCCTAAATTTATGAAGAAATTAGATTTTTAAAATTTTGTATTGGATGTTTTATAGCAAAAAAAGTAAAAAATATTGTGTTTTCAAAATTGTTTTTGTTTATAGCGCAAAAAATAAAAATGCAGAGGTGATCAAATACCACCGAAAGAAAGCTCTATTTGTGGGGAAAAAATGATATAAATTTAAATTATGTACAGCGTTGTATGGCCACGCAATTGTCAGGTAAACTAACGCAACACCATATCACAAAAAATGGCCTGGTCAGGAAGGGGGGTAAATCCTCTGAAGGGCAAGTGGTTAAGATTCAATTGAGTGGGTTTTTTTTTTTAAAAAACTGAATTTGTTTATTATTGGCATTTTAGGTGTATAAAGGTGGCCATGCACTATACATTCTGATGGTACAATCTCTGTATTATCTCCTTTAGATTTACCAAAACTTTATAATAGGAAGACACACCGATCTAGCCAAACACTCAGTAACCAATCAGGCAGGCTCTTTCACTACATAGTTGATGGTAGATCTTAGGGCTCATTCACGCGGACGATATGATCAGGCCCGCCTGCCCGTTTTTCAGGCAGACCCGATCGGAACCTCCATTGTCCTCTATGGAGCAGTGGGTGTAAAAGGACATGTGTCCATTTACACCTGCCGACATCCGATTCAATCCGCCAAAAAGGGACAGATGGGGATCCAATTCCCCTTCCGTCCGTCGGATCGGATCGGAGGAAAATGGAGAGGCAGTCCGTTTTCATCTGACCGCCCATTGAGGAGAGAGAGTAGGTCTCTGTCCTCTCTGCAGCAGCAGAACGGACACAGAGCTGTCATCTACTTGCTTAGCGGGGATCAGCGGAGAGATTCCCCCACTGAGCAAGCGGATCCACTAAATGGGTCTGTCCCATGTGAAAGGACCCTAAGGATGTGTATTCAGTGAGAATGTTGCTCCTTGATATTGATTGTATGGGTGCCTAGAGTTGGGTTGGAGCAATCTCCTGGAAGAGGGGGGATAGGTGCAGGTTGTGTGTTACATACAGTGAAGGAAATACATTTTTGATCCACTGCTGATTTTGAATGTTTGCCCACTCACAAAGAAATGATCAGTCTAACATTCGAATGGTAGGTGTATTGTAACACTGAGAGACAGAATAGCAACAACAAATTCAAAAGAAATGCATGTCTAACAAATTATGCACTGATTTGCATGTTCATGAGGAAAATAAGTATTTGATTCCTTCACAAAACATGATTTAGTACTTGGTGGCAAATCCCTTGTTAGCAATCACAGAGGTAAGACGTTTCCTGTAGTTGGCCACCAGGTTTGCACACATCTCAGGAGGGATTTTGGCCCACTTCTCTTGGCAGATCCTCTCCAAGTCATTATGGTTTGGTAGATGACATCTGGCAACTCGAACTTTCAGCTCCCTCCACAAATTTTCAATCGGATTAAGGTCTGGAGACTGGCTAGGTCACTCCAGGAACTTAATGTGCTTCTTCTTGAGCCACTCCTTTGTTGCCTTGGCCGTGTGTTTTTGGCCATTGTCATGCTGGAACATCCATCCACAACCCATTTTCAATGCCCTGGCTGAGGGAAGAAGGTTCTCACCCAAGATTTGAAGGTACATTGCCCCATCCATCGTCCCTTTGATGTGGCGCAGTTGTCCTGTCCCCTTAGCAGAAAACCACCCCCAAAGCAGAATGTTTACACCACCATGTTTGACAGTTGGGATGGTGTTTTTGGGGTCATAGGCAGCATTCCTCCTCCTCCAAACACGGCGAGTTGAGTTGATGCCAAAGAGCTCGATTTTGGTCTCATCTGACCGCAACACTTTCAACCAGTCCTCCTCTGCATCATTCAGAAGTTCAGTGGCAAACTTCAGACAGGTCTGGACATGTGCTTTCTTGAGCAGAGGGACCTTGCATACACTGCAGGATTTCAATCCTTGTCGGCGTAGTGTGTTACCAATTGTTTTCTTGGTGACTGTGGTCCCAGCTGCCTGGAGATCATTGATAAGATCCTCACGTGTAGTTCTGGGATGATTCCTCACTGTTCTTATGATCATTGACACTCCACGAGGTGAGATCTTGCATGGTGCACCAGACCTAGGGAGACTGAAACTTGTTTTGTGTTTCTTTCATTTGCGAATGATTGCACCAACTGTTGTTACCTTCTCACCAATCTGCTTGTCGATAGTTTGGTAGCCCAGTCCAGCCTTATGTAGGTCTACAATCTTGTCGCTGACATCCTTGGACAGCTCTTTGGTCTTTGCTATGGTGGAGAGTTTGGAATCTGATTGTTTGATTGCTTCTGTGGACAGGTACCTTTTTATACAGGTAACAAAATGAGATTAGCACCACTCCCTTTAAGGGACTTCTAATCTCAGCTTGTTACCTGTATGAAAGACACCTGGTAGCCAGAAATCCCGCTGAATGATAGGGGATCAAATACTTATTTCCCTCATGAACATGCAAATCAGTGTATAATTTGTTAGACATGCATTTCTTTTCAATTTTTTGTTGCTATTCTGTCTCTCAGTGTTACAAAACACCTACCATTCGATTTTTAGACTGATCATTGGGGGGGGGGGGGGACTGCCTAACTGCCACTGACATCCCAATGACACTAATACAGTGATCAGTGCTAATAAAAAGCACTGACACTGTACTAATGACACTGGGCAGGAAGGAGTTAACATCTGGGGCGATCAAAGGGTTAACTGTGTGCTGTTTTATATAGTGTTCTGTGTGTGTTATACTAGGGAAACATGCTGCTGTGTGTTTCTCTGCACAGCAGCATGTTCTTGCTGGCAGGAGAAAGACCTGTGTTGTTTACACACAGGTCTCTCCCCTGTCAGTTTTACTCGGCAATTGCCGAGTGCCAGTGGGGAATCTCTTGCTGGGACCTGGTAATTGACATCCATAGCCGGCAATAACAACATGGGTAGAGCGGCGAGCGTGTGCGCCGCCCACTCAGAAATGCAAATCAGGTATATATACGTGATTTTGTGCAGCCCTGCCATCCTGTAGCAGTATTTCTTGGGCGGGGGGGTAAAGAGGTTAAACCTTCCTTGTAATAAACATTATACATTTACAGGGACAGTATACAGGTACGGCTCTGGGTGCTCTTTTGTACAGTGTATCTCTTCCGTATCTCTTCTGTACATGTACAGTTGTGTTTAAAATAATAGCAGTCAGACATTACTAACCTGATCAATCACTGTTTTTGGTAGAAATTATATTTCTATATGGCAAATAATTTACAAGCAGGTGTAGTAGAGTAATAGAAATCCAACAGACCCAACAGTCATGACATGCATGCTGCTGATTCTGTGTAATTGAATCACTAATTGAAAGGGGCATGTTCAAAATAATAGCAGTGTGGAGTTCTATTAGTGAGGTCATTCATTCTTTGAAAAACAGGTGGCAATTATTGCCCATATTTAAGGAAGGAAGGCAGCAAATGTTGTACATGCTGGTTACAGTGCATTTCTCTCTGAAATTCTTAGGAACATGGGTCGTTCCAGACATTGTTCAGAAGAACAGCGTACCTTGATTAAAAAGTTGATTGGAGAGGGGAAAACATATAAAAAAGTGCAGAAAATGATAGGCTGCTCAGCTAAAATGATCGCAAATGCTTTAAAATGGCAACCAAAACCTGAAAAACGTGGAAGAAAGCGAAAAACTACCATTCAAATGGATAGAAGAATAGCCAAAATGGGAAGGACTCGGTCAACAATCAGCTCCAGGAAGATCAAAGAAGGTGTAAAGTTACCTGTGAGTACTGTTACAATTAGAAGACGCCTATGTGAAGCCAAGCTATCTGCAAGAAGCCCCCGCAAAGTCCCACTGTTGAAAAAAAGACATGTGCTGAAGAGGTTACAATTTACCAAAGAGCACATTGACTGGCCTAAAGAGAAATGGCGCAACATTTTGTGGACTGATGAAAGTAAGATTGTTCTTTTTGGGTCTAGTGGCCAGAGACAGTTTGTCAGACGACCCCCAAACACTGAATTCAAGCCACAGTACACTGTCTTCATGGTTGCACAAGCATCATGATATGGGGATGTTTCTCATACTACGGTGTTGGGCCTATTTATCGCATACCAGGGATCATGGATCAGTTTGAATACATCAGAATACTTGAAGAGGTCATGCTGCCTTATGCTGAAGGGAAATGCCCTTGAAATGGGTGTTCCAACAAGACAACGACCCCAAACACACCAGTAAACGTGCAACATCTTGGTTCCAGACCAACAAGATTGACGTTATGAAGTGGCCAGCCCAATCCCCAGATCTTAGTCCAATAGAAAACATGTGGGGTGACATAAAAAAATGCAGTTTCTGAGGCAAAACCAAGAAATAGAGAAGAACTGTGGAATGTAGTCCAATCATCCTGGGCTAGAATACCTGTTCCCAGGTGCCAGAAGTTGGTTGACTCCATGCAACACACAAATGTACAGCAGTTCTCAGAAACAGTGGTTATACAACTAAATATTCATTAATTGATTCAAAGGAAAGCAAAATCTTCAAACATCTTTCAGTTTATATAATGAATGTTTGAGTTTGTAAAGAAGAATAAAAACACTGCTATTTTTTTGAACAGTCTCTAATATTCACTTTTCTTCAATTTTTTTAGAGGAACAACACAAATTTGAAATATTTTTCTTTATGTTTTGATTTGGAATAGAATGTGCAGTGTTCCCAGTGCATTTGTGTGTATGGAAATAAAAGCTATTAGGATTTTGAGCTTTATTCACTTTTTTCAACACACTGCTATTATTTTGAACACAACTGTACCTCATGTCTTTGTATATTATAT